CCCTAACCCTAACCCTAACCCTAACCCTAACCCTAACCCTAACCCTAACCCTAACCCTAACCCTAACCCTAACCCTAACCCTAACCCTAACCCTAACCCTAACCCTAACCCTAACCCTAACCCTAAAAACATTCCTCGTGGCATTCTCGGTGCTGCTTCTTCGCAGCATACAAGGGGGGGAATCATGAATGAAGTTCAACGATTCGATTCGCCCGCGGGATTAATTGCTGAGGTCAGCGAGCACGGCTTACTTCCGTCAGGGTCCAGCGTGTGCTGATGACGCGTGTACTCAGGAGCTGCTCATTCCCTGTCCTCCTCGACTTCTCCCTCGACCCATACTCTTCTCCTTATGCCCCATCCCAACAATAACGCAGGCAACACTCGTCCACTATACCCCTCACAATCGAAACCAAACCCTCCAGCAATAACACACGTCTTTGCAAAGGGTCAGCAGAGGTGCGCCACCAGGACTGCTATGGGCAGCTTACCCAGGCCTAGTCCACTCAGGAGGGAGCTGAGCTTCGGGGAAGGACTGCCGTCGGAGGGGGTCAAGGGAAAGAAACGGGTGATGGAGGAGATTTTGAACGCATCGGAAGAGTTGTTGGATGTGAACAAACGACCTAGGATGGAAGATGATGGAGCCTCTCCTTCGACGTCGAGTCTTCCGACCACCTCACGCCCTTGGTGGTCCTGGTCGTCCCCCAACTTGCCTGCTCTGGTTCAACCTAACGGTGCTACATTATCTCCAGATCATTTGCTTGAAGCGGCTTCTCAGGCAGAGTCTGTCATTCCCACTCTCAAGCCTGCTCCGCCCCCCTCTGCTTCAGGCGAACTCTCCTCACCTCAAACGACCGCGACCTCTTCTCTCCTCGCTTCCATCGCACCTTCATCATCGACATCAACCCCAGACCAGACGTCGACCTCCACAATGTCAACTCCATTCACATCAGTCTCTCCTGCAACGGTAGACGAAGACCCTCAAACGATCAAACCCAAACGGAGCTGGTTCGGCAGTTTTGGAAGGTCCAGAGTATCGTCTCTCTCAGCGCCTGTACCTCCCCCACTACCCGTACCCTTCCGGTGTCAGGACCTACCAATCAACGGTCTCCCATCAGACACCGCAACGGCAGAGCCAACATCCGCTCCTCCGACTCTGCAGACCACTCCTACTGCCGCCTCTCTCACTCCCACACCCCGGCCAACATCTCCTATTCCCATTCCCGCTACTCCCCTTCCTCGCTCGCTCGCTCGCCCTTCCCACACCCGCACGCAGTCCGCCGCCTCACACCTCTTCGCAGCTTCAGGGCCTTCAACACCAGTGCTTTCCCTCATCACCCTTGAATCCCCCGACACGCGTGTCCCCACGCCTGCATTTCTCCGCCTTCCCGAGCCTGGATCCTCACCTGCGTCATCTCTTGATCAAGGACAGGAACAGAGAGGGCAGATCATCCCAGCCCAGCCCAGTGGGCTGGCAGCACTTAACGCTGGTGCGCTGAGGTATACTCTCAGCCTGCCTCTTCTTGGAGGAAGGACGAAGAGGACCGTAGAAGTCATTAGGCTGTCGGGTGCTGAGCAAGTGCAAGCCCAATCCCAAGCCCAGGAACATTCAGAAAATGGACAGGAACAGGCTACAGAAGATGGCGCTGGGAGAGAGATCGTCAAAGCAGGAGAACCAAAAGAGATGGAAATCATGCTCGTCCCGCCTGCGGACGAAGAGGCGCAGGAAACGAAACAAGCGGAGGACAACATTGAATCCAGTACGCCGCCCCTCTTCCCCCCCTCATTTCTAGGCTAACGCAGAGCAGAACAAGCCGCAGCGGAGGCTGCCTGGTGGTGGTCTTATCTCGGTTTCTCTACACCTAGCACCTCCTCCGTTAAAGAATCGTCCCCGAGCACGAGCCAGCTTCCCCTGCCCGTCACTCCTTCTACGCAGGAGTCGGCCGATATTCTCACCCCTCTCTCTCCAAGCCTTCTCTCACCCCAGCAGCAGCCGCCTAACAGCGCCAACTCCAAGATTTACGCCGACCCCAGTCCCAAACAGCCAGCTATGTCATTCACCTCGGCGGAAACGAAGAGCGTCTGGTACCAACCGTGGTATTGGTATACTGCTCCTTCCGTGCTTGCCGCGTCTGCGGACGCACATCCTGGAGAGCTGGAGAAAGAGGGGCAGGAGAAGACACAGGCGGAGAGGGTGAAAGAGGACGCTCTTGCACGCTCAGACGCCGCATCTCCCGCCGGGGAACCCTCACCTGTTACTGAGGCTGAACCCCAGCCCACCCCTACCCCAACGGAACTTCCTCAAACACAAGCGCACGCAAGCCCCCTGACAACACAGAGCAACATGCCCATGTGGGTCAGCTTCTTCTCCGGAGGGCGGAACCTGGCACGGCCATTGATCAAGCAGGGAGAGGGAATGGAGGTGATGATGATTGATGAGGAGGCGACAGGAGCGGGAGCTGGCGGGGGTGTGGGAGTAGGTCCTGTTGGCGCTGGTGCGGCAGGCGGTGCGGGTAGTGGGAGTGGGACGACATCTAGTGTGACTGGGAGTGGGGTTGGTGGCAGTGGTGCTAGTGCTCTGACAGCACAGGTTGATGCCGGGACATCTCTAAGACCCTCATCGGCCGTTGCGTCCTTCAGTGCCATCCAGACACCGTCGAGCAGCGTCCCCAACACAGGCATCACCAACGCCCCCAATTCTACCACTGCTAAGGAAGGATCGAAGCGCAGTACTGCTCAAGAAGCTGCCAAAGCTGCTGGGACTGCCAAGGAAGCGGTAAGGGCGGCTCGGTGCGCGTCTAAGGAGCCTCTCAAGCCCGGTCCTGGGGAGAAAGATGTAGGAAAAGATGTCAAACCGAGCAGTCTGCCTAAGGATACGCTCAAGATTACTCTGGTCGGTGGGACGGGGAGTAAGCCAGGGAGCATCAAAGCTGGCACATCACCTGGTTCTCCGGCACTAACTGTCCCCCCGAAAGCTCCCACGCCTGAGCCCAAAGATGCCCCTGCCTCTCCGCTCACTGTCAACCCCAAGCTCAAGAAGGCACTTGCGGACAGCAAGCGCGCTGCTCCTGTGACAGCCAAGAAGGACAAGGCCGAGCCTTCACCGCCTTTGCCGAACTTCCTCCTACCTACATTCCAGGACGTGTTCTACCATCCCCCTCTGTCTTTCCGCCCTCCGGAGGCGGACGGGAAGCCGTCTGGCGCACTGAAGAAGACGATGCGCTACGTGAACAAGTTCCTTGGCGCGCCGCCCAACTACCGCCCAGTGCTGATCGATCCTGAGCTGGCGGAGTATCAGCGCCGTCTGGAGAAGGGCAAGGGACGGGAAGGAGAAGAGGTACCAGTTCCCCTCTCGGCTAGCAGCAAAGCGATGCAGGAAAAGTCCCAGGTAGAGCGAATGAAGCTCGAGGGCATGCCAGCGCTGATGCCTCGTAGCTGGGCTGTGATGGGCGTTGACCGGCTTGGTGAGATGAGGGCTGTCAAGCGGGCTGTCGTCGTTGGTATCCATGGCTGGTTTCCCGGAGGGATGTTGAGGAGTGTGCTGGGGGAGCCGACGGGGACGAGTGCAAAGTTCGCCCAGATGCAGAGGGATGCGTTGTTGGATTATCTTCGTAAGCACTCGTATTCTCGTAAAGCAGAGCACTTAGCTTACCTCCGTACAGAGAAGCACGATATCAAGCTTGATACACTCACAGAGATTCCGCTCGAAGGAGAGGGCACAATCGCACACAGGCTGGAGAAGCTCTACTCGACACTCACGTCTAATGAACTGTGGATGAACGACATCCACCAAGCCGATGTTATCCTCTTCGCATGTCATTCTCAGGGATCGATCGTGACTTGCCAGATCATGGACCGCTTGCTCGAGGAAGGGCACATCTATACTGGCTACCCGGAGCAGACTGCGGGGGAGACGATCGTAAAGCTTCAGACCCAAGGACCAGCCATCCCGAGAAAAGTACAGCGAGTCGTTTGCCTCGCGCTGTGTGGAATCCATCTCGGCCCGCTCCTCTACCTCAATACCAGCGTCCTCACACAGCCTTGGCTTCATTATGTGGAGACGGCTGCAGCGCGTGAGCTCTTCGAGTTCCAAGATACGGAGAGCGATGTGTCGAAGCGGTACGTGTCGGCTCTCGGAAGAGTGCTCGACCATGGCTGCAAGTTCGTCTACATTGCTTCGCTCAACGACCAAGTTGTGCCCATCTACTCTGGCGCGTTTGTGAACGCCTCACACCCGCTCATCCTTCGCGGCCTGTACGTCGACGGCGATGCCTACAGCTCGACAGACTTCCTCACCAACTTACTTGTCCTCTGTCTTCGCCTGCGAAACGCAGGCCTCACCGATGGAGGCCTTGTTGTCCACCTGTCCGAAGCGACAGCTGGCTCGCTCAACGGCGTCGGCCATAGTTCTGCATATGAAGAGATGGCGTGTTACACACTTGCCGTACGCTTTCTTTTCGAGACCAACAACACTCCCGGACCGCTCCCTCCTCTCGAGCTGGAGCCTTTCTCTGCGCGCGAGTCGCGTAATGACTACGAAATACCGTGGATCCTTAACGAACTTGTCACCCACCCGGCCGTACAAGAATGGTTCCTGTCTGAGATTGAAGAGCTGCGTGCAGCGTTCGACGACTGGAAGCCAAAGACCGCGGCACTGAGAGATATCAGGAGGAAGCTAGAACCGATCAAGCGGAAGGGGCGAAAACTCAACCGGATCGTTGTTGGTCCAAGCCGTTTGTAACATACTAATCATGATGGGCATGTCTGTTCTTCCTACTCTCCATATGTACGCGCACAACCACTCATTACACTCGTAAACTGTAGCATTTGTATTCTTGTTACTCGATGCTTGCAACGGCAATCGGAATGCTATTTCTTCGCTTGGGCTACTCTACCGCATTACTGGGAGATGAAGCGAACTACCGTCACCGCCGACCGGGGCGGCAGCGCCGAAGCCAGTGCTTAGTCAGCCGTTGACGTCGGTCTTTGACAGAAAAACGTCCGACCGCGCCTGATCCCCCAGTGGTCATTCTTGACACTCAACGACCACCATCGCCCTCCTCCATTCTCTATTCCTTAGGTCGACATCATGTTGAGGGTTACTCTGCGACCATCAACATCTCGTATTCTTGCACGCTATGCACGATTGCAGGGCGTTCGTGGGCTGGCTACTGCTCAAGAACCATACGACACCATTGTAATCGGATCTGGTGTGCCTCCACACCACTCTGTGTTTGGTGTCTCCTTTCACTAACTATTCTACAGGGCCGGGTGGTTATGTAGCCGCTATTAAGGCCGCTCAGCTGGGTCTTAGGGTGCGTCAATGTGTCACTCGCGCTTTGCTTTGTTTACTAAGCGTGTACAGACGGCCTGCATCGAGAAGAACGACACGCTCGGCGGCACCTGCCTCAACATTGGTTGCATTCCCTCCAAGGCAATGCTGAATAACTCACACGCGTATGTGGAAGCACAGCACGATATGAAGAATCGCGGTATTGAAAGTAAGCAAGCGTCTCATGGCCGTGCTGGAGCAATGGCTAACAGTTTATCCTATTCCTCAGTCGAAGGTGTTTCCCTCAACCTTGCCCAAATGCTCAAGGCAAAAGAGCAAGCCGTCACCTCTCTCACGAAGGGTGTTGAAAGCTTGTTCAAGAAGAACAAGGTCGACTGGGTCAAGGGGACCGGTTCATTCGTCACACCAAACCGCATTGCCGTCAAGATGAACGATGGTACCGAGACGGAACTCGAGGCAAAGAACGTTATCATAGCGACTGGATCCGAAGTGACTCCTTTCCCTGGCATCGAAATCGACGAGAAGCAGATCGTCAGCTCGACTGGCGCTCTGTCCTTGGAGAAGGTACCGGAGAAGATGGTTGTCATTGGAGGGGGAATCATCGGGCTAGAGTTGGGCAGTGTCTGGTCTCGTCTGGGCACTGAGGTCACCGTTGTCGAGTTTTTGCCTGCTATTGGTGCTGGTATGGACGAAGAGGTCGCGTAAGCTCTCTTTTGGTCCATTCCATGGGAGCGGGCTCTGATAGCACTGCAGTAAATCCTTCCTCCGCATCATGCAAAAGCAGAACATCAAGTTCAAGCTCAGCACCAAGGTTCTCTCGGCTGAGAAATCCGATGGCAAAGTTCTCGTAAAGGTCGATGCTGCCAAAGGCGGCAAGGAAGAGACATTAGAGGCCGATGTACTTCTCGTGGCAATCGGTCGTCGCCCCGTTACAACTGATCTTAACCTGGAGAAGATCGGCGTCGAGGTAGATGGTAAGGGTCGGATCGTTATCGATGACCAATTCAACACGTCCGTGCAAAGTGTCAAGTGCATCGGTGATGTCACCTTCGGCCCTATGCTTGCGCACAAGGCCGAGGACGAAGGTATCGCTGCCGCCGAATATATCAAGACTGGTCATGGTCACGTCAATTACCAAGCCATCCCCTCAGTCGTCTACACACATCCAGAGGTTGCATGGGTCGGCAAGAACGAGCAGGAGCTTAAGGCCGCCGGCGTCGAGTACAAGATCGGCAAATTCCCCTTTGCTGCCAACTCTCGGGCCAAGACGAACCTGGATACGGAGGGCTTTGTCAAGTTTATCGTGGAGAAGGAGACAGATCGTGTGCTAGGTGTTCATATCATTGGTGCGCTATCACTTTGTACTGCGAGTATCCGCACTAAGTGTCTCCTGCAGGTCCCAATGCTGGTGAGATGATCGGGGAAGCTACCCTTGCCATTGAGTACAGCGCCAGTGCTGAGGATATTGCACGAACGTGCCATGCCCACGTAAGCATCACTCGCTCAAATATGTCATATGGACTGGTGCTCATTGCCGCTCCAGCCCACTCTCAGCGAGGCTTTCAAAGAGGCAGCACTTGCTTCCTATGACAAGCCCATCAATTTTTAGGATATCTCGCATTTTGTGCACAAGTAACCTAATTCAAAAGGCATCTCCAGTGCGAATGTTTCTTGACGTGGTTTTCCCAATACTTTGAGAGCCCTGTCCCCCGACGTGATCCACTCAGTCGCAAGGGCTTGACCACGCCAATGGGTTGAAGCGGTGAATGAGCTGGGCGTTGATTCGGTGATAGCACATGTCAGATAATACCCGAGAAGGAACGGAAAGGAAGGCAGATATGGTGTCTTGGTGCAAGAGTCTTAGGGAGTCCGGACAGGCGCTCAAATTCCGTTGATGTTTCATAAAGACATGATCAGACGGTACTGTGCAGCAGTCGGAAATCGTTGAGCTTCGATGTGGTAGAGTGCTTCCAAGAGCGCGAGAGTCACAGGATGAAAGTGTGCAATCTCTATCGAGATCCTGCACAGCCCCTGGACAGGTGCTTCCTTCATACATAGAGGCGCACTGCATCACAGCAGGCACCCCCACAAACTATGCATCGAGCCTCTGCACAAGTTAAGACTTGGAAGTGTCTGCATATGCAGTTTATCTCCCAGGGTCGAGGAAAACTGTTTGCTCGTACTTTCTCCAGTTCTACACTTCATTCACCTCTGTTTGCACATAAACCAGCCTTACAACTGGGTGTTCCGAAACCCATCAACCCGTATCTTTCCACGCGTCTAGCCAGGCAGGGCGACACCCGACATAAATCGACACGCTTCAGAAGTGATGAGAAGAAACTCTCCGGTGCTGACGATAAACATGAAGAGATTACGAACGAGCGCGATGGAACAGAGGAGACCGAATTGCTCGACATCCGTGCCATCAACAGCCACTCTGATACTCATGGCAGACTGCTTCCTGCCGGAAGGGAGACCCGCGGGTTGGATGTGCTCAGTCGTCCCTGTAACACTCTGTCGAAGTCCAATTCTTCCTTGGGAGGTCCACAACAACCTCTTTCTGGGTCAAGTGTGACACAGCATGGTAGGCCGCAATACCTGCAGTTGTCATACAAGTCAGCTCGGAACAAGCGATCTGGGCAATCTGTCCGGCTTGAAGCATTATGGCGCCCCAACGTCATGATTGGCTCTGAGGACGACTCTCAAGATGATCTTGTTCCTCTGGAACTCAAGGCAAAGGCGGTTGCCCATTCATATACCGTTCACTGTGGTCAGCTCGGCAGCCAAAGGGTCGTCGCCAAGGTTGTACGGAAGGACAATCTCGATGTCCTGGATGACGAAGTCAGGTGGTATCGCAAAGTTGAATATCTCTGGGGAAAGGGAGTTGCCGAGCCTTCTGGTTTGTACCAAGGCGACGACCTGGCTCTGTTGTTGTTGAAGCATCAGGGCGAACCACTCCAGACATGGTGTGGTCAGCAGTACGTCTCCTGTCCAAACCATCCAAGGAGAAGAAACTGAGTTTTGTGTAACAGCGCGAACGCATATCGGCTTCTTACCGAGCTCCATCGTTGCAACATGGTTCATCATGCGATCGAGCTGGACCATTTTTTGCTGGATGACAGGGGATCACTCACCATCATAGATTTCAAAGAGGCAACACCGCACATTTTTGGCCGTTGCAATAGTATCTGCACAGAAAATTTCAATGCCGAAAGATGCAGCCATCCTCATCCCTTGAATGAGGGCAAAAACATGGTCGACTTCAGATGGAGATGAAGCGAACTACCCCTCACCGAGGACCGGGGCGGCAGCGCCGAAGCCAGTGCTTAGTCAGCCGTTGGTGACCACCCAAGAGACCTTGTCCTCGACCGTCCCCCTCTCTTCTCTTGGACGCTTATGCATTCACTACAAACTAATGGCAGCACAGACGGCTACTCGACGCCAGCAGAGCCAACAACTCCCTATAGCGAAATATCTGGCTTCACTAGCACATCCGCATCGCTCCCTGCCAGGCCCTCGACAGCGACGACGATGAGCATGAGCAGTATGCGCAGCGAGATATCCACGCTCTCTTCTGCGAACTATTCACGCTCGGACGCCCTAGAGGACCTGCCTTACGTACATCATATTCTACAGCTCTTTCTCTCCAGCAAGATGATGGAAGCTGAGGACCTGGTGAGAGAGGGTGACCTGAGGAAAGAACGGCTCTATTTCTCCACCGCTTGGTCCATCATTTAGGCTATAAAAGCCATGATGTCGGTCGACGACAAAGTACGCCCCTCCTCGCCTTACGTCCATATTTCTCCCTCTCTGACTCCCGCAGGAACTTGCAGAAGCTATTGAACATGCAAGACATACGACCGAAGTCGCGTAACGGCACCGAAAGCCCTCCCCAGGCCTGGCTTCGTGTGTCGCTGGCCTCGTAGTGGGTGGCACGGGGTGCAGCGTTCATACGTGAGTGACGGATGTGGAAAGGCATGCAGAGTCAAGTGGCGGGAGAACATGCGTCATTCGTACATTACAGACCCCTTTACCACTAGTTCACTGCAACTTGTGCGCATAGACAAAATAGACTAGCCAGTACTACCTCAAGTCCAACCCTTCTCACCTTGTTTTCTTGTGCTGATTACCATGAGAATATTGTCAACAGCAATATGGGTAGAACTGTTGTGTAATTTCATTGTGCAGAAATTATTCCCAATACGAGAACTGTAGAAGAGTTATCAAAGTACATTACAAAACATCTATATATATAAAAAGAGGAAGTGTATAAATCTTCTTACGTGTTACTAACAGTCAGCACATCTCCTGACTGAGAAAGACGCGGCAGGGACCCGACCTTCTCCTCGACCGCCCTTCTCTAGACGCTCATGCATTCCCTACAGACCAATGGCATCACGGACGGCGACATAACGCCAACAGAACCCACAACACCATATAGTGAAATATCAGATTTTACTAGCACAACCGCATCGCTGGCTACCACACCCTCGACAGCGACGACGATGAGCATGAGCAGCATGCGCAGCGAGATATCCACACTCTCCTCTGCTAGCTATTCACGCTCAGACGCCCTCGAGGACCTCCCTTACGTACATCATATCCTACAGCTCTTTCTCTCCAGCAAGATGATGGAAGCCGAGGATCTCGTCAGAGAGGGCGACCCGAAGCAGGAACGGCTCTATTTCTCCACCGCTTGGTCCATCATTCAGGCTATAAAAGCCATGATGTCGTTCGACGACAAAGTACGCTCTACCTTTCCTTTGCTCCATGTCATTTCACCACTGACGCCCACAGGAACTCGCAGAAGCTATTGAAGACGCAAAGCATACGACCGAAGTCGCCCAAAGGCACCGAAAGCCCTCCCTAGGCCTGGCTTCGCGTGTCGCTGGCCTCGTAGTGGGGGGCACGGGTGCAGCGTTCATACGGGGTATGACGGATGTGGAAAGGCACGCAGAGCTCGTATATGCAGAGACGCTGCTTATCAAGGCCGTCCTGGGTATCGTCAGCAGTGGAGATTGGCTCGCCTTCGTGAAAGAAGCGTATGTCCGCCTCTTCTCCCCCTACTAGGTTCACTCACATCATCCTGCGCAGGCTGCACATGCGATCGGCACTGAACATCTACAAACACCTAGACCAGTTTGTTCAACAGGCGGATAAGGAAGCCTTTGAGCGCGGAGAGGGGGAAGCCGAGGATATCGACCAGGATTTCCGGTCCGGCGTCCTCCTAGGAATGGGGATCAACTCTCTTGTCCTCTCCCTCCTCCCTAGCAAAGTCATCACCGTGCGTCTTCCCGGCAGTCCCCTAACGCTCGCTCATCGGACTGCACGGCACAGATCGTAGAACTATTCGGGTACAAGTCCAACCGTCGTCAAGCGCTCAAGACACTCGCTAAGCCCGGAGGGTGGAGCAGGTCCGCCCCCTCCCCGCAATCGACGCAGAGCACGAAGGCATCCGACGCTGCGTCTGTGACATGGTGCTCATCATGTTCCATCTTGTGCTAAATTCCATCACGTTTGCGGGTATTGATGTCAAGTTCGCGGAGAAGATGCTTAATTGGAATCTGGAGCGTTTTCCCGAGGGTGCGCTCCTTCACCTTTACGCAGTTGCTACTTGTTAATCTCTGTCAGGCGTGTTCTACCTATTCATGCAAGGCCGGCTGCACGTCTCCCAGTCCCAGCCCCGGCTCGCCATAGCTGCGTACGACCGAGCCGCCCAGATCCAGAAAGAATACGTGCAGCTGCAACACGTCGCATACTGGGAACAAGGGATCCTTATGATGTCGATGGGGGATGTCCTTCCCGCCGTCTCCTGCTGGCGGAAACTCGTTTCCAGCTCATCATGGAGTAAGGCCGTGTACACCTACGCCCTCGCCTCCTGTCTCGTGCACCACGGTAACCCCTCCCAGATAGCGGAAGCAGAACAGCTCATGAAGCTCGTCCCGACGTACAAGCAACGCATAGCAGGCAAGTCGATCCCGATCGAGAAATTTGCAGCTCGCAAGGCGCGCAAGTTCCAGTCTCAGGGCAAACGCCTCCTTCTCCCGGCATTCGAGTTCGCGCTCGTCATGCAAGTTATGGGACGTATGACCCCAAAGATCTTGCATGAGAACGTGCTTCCTCTTGTGAGGAAAGAGATCCAGGCGCTGAGGAGTACACAGCCGAAGGACTGGGGCAATGGCACGGGCTACTGGGACGACCTTGCTCTTGCGCGATACATGGAAGGTGTGGTGTTGCGGTACATCGCCTACCCAGTAAGTCCCTTTCTGCAGGAGAAACTGTAACTAAGCGTTCGCAGGATCCCGACGCAGTATTGCAGGAATCGGACAAGGTTAACATCTCCCAGAAGGAGACAGCCGAAGCGTCGCTCGCGGCCTTCCAGGAAGTGCTGGACAACGGGTTCAAGGTCGAACTTGATCATTATATCGTATACTACACTCGTGCGTGACTTGTTGCTCCCAATTCTAGTGCTGACGGCTTGTAGATTATGATCTTGGCCGACTCCACGCCTGTCTTGGGAACGTGCCCGAAGCAAAGCGCCACTTAGAGTTGGTCATGTCGGGTACATTTAACTCATATGCTCTTTGAACTCTTCTGACAGACCCTCAGGGAAGACACTCGAAGTGAACGCCAGTGGCAAAAAGGTATGTTCTGTCTGTCCACAGCCAGATCGTGCACTCAACTCTCTCAGGGAAAATACAGTCTCGAGGTAACCTACCCATGAACGGTGATGATTCCGACTGACCGTTTTTAGAATGCGCTCATGGTACGTACGCATGCCGCAAGTGTGAGTTATGCTCCTGCCCTCTCAATCACCCTGCTGACCCATGGTGCAGGAGGCGATCGACGAGGGACGTGGTGTGTAAGCGCCACAAGTGTCTCGAAAAGAGCGTCTATTCTGTGCCGCCCAGAAGCTCCAGTTCTCTTCCCAACCAATTGGACGCCGTCCCTCACAGCCAGCAAGGGCATGGCCACACTGCGACTCTCACATGGTGGAGCTATTGCGAACTTTTTAGTCTTGGTAGACAACTTGAGAGCCTTGTGTTCTCCGCACCTGCATCTCTTCCATCTCTTCCGGCCATCAAGTCCGCATGATATTCTACAATTGTACACTAATTCAATAGAATTGGTCCCTTCCTATCTTTGGCTCTGCTCGTTGATCACGACAGCTCACACCACTTCCAGGACCCTCAGTGCTTCTCAACGCCTCGTTCGTGCTTCAACCAATTTACTTCACTCAGGAATGTTCCACAAGGGTGGTCGAGAGCGCCATCAGCTTCTGACCATTCGAAGACGGAAGTTCGCTATTCGCTGAAAAATGCTCATGCTTGTGTGGCAGTTTAGCTGATTAGGATATTAGTCAGCAGCTCACAAGTCGCTACAAGCTTATGAACCGGGGGGTTGCTCGATGTGGTGCTAGGATCGAAACAAGTGTACTGTGCTAGTTCACTTGTTTCTTCAGAAAATATCTTGCCACACTCGCCCCGGGAAGCGTTCGAGATTGCCAGCGTCTTCTATGAGAATTGGTATCAATAATGGTATTGTGTTTGGTTAAAGCAAGCGATTACTACGCACCATTTCTCTGTACGTAGGTTCAAAGATTTTCTCCTCTTCCAGCAGTGACAATTTTTCATCATATGGGCACGAAGAAATCAAGGGGTCTCAATAAATGGGCATGTTTACGTCACGCGTTTGTACAAGCTCCCATATTAGTCTCCTTTGCCAATGAATAGTATGATTCTCTCCCTAAGAGAAGCCGGGGGAGCGGGACGACGACGATAAACGCCACATCGTGCGAGGGGAAGCTTGCCGATGTTGTGATTTAATGTCGTAGAATCTCCCTGCATCAGCCCGCAAATGTGCGTGGGAAGATTGCAAGGGTTCTTCGCGGATACACATTTCCACCAAGGTAGCTTTAAGCCGCTTACGACCACCAATCTTCTTCAAGTATCCTTTACCTGCCGATAATCATGACTGAATAGCTTAGAGTAGATATGGTGATCATAGATAACAAGGTGCCTTCCAAGTCACTCCATTTCTGCAATTTGGATCTCTCGACTTCTCCACCGGTGATCCGCCGGTACTGCGTGTACTTGATATTAAGCGCCTGTAGGTAGCTGTGCCCCATCGTTTCCTGTGAGATTCCCAGCGCCAATGTTCCACGATGCGTTCGGCCTTCCGAAGCACTGTCAAGATAGTGCGTCTGGGCCACTGTCGGACAGTCGGTCCGTTTGTCTCCGATTCCTGGTTGCCACAGCTCGCCGAACACATATATAGTAGCGTGGGGAAGCAGAGGAAAACACATGCTCCATTCCCTGGCCTCCAATGGGCGATTCAAGGTCACGATGCAGGAAGCGTGGCGCCCCAGTCGGCATTGCGACATCTGGGACCCCTGCAAAGCGCCTGCGATCTGCTTCCATTTGGCCTAGAATGGGGTGTGCCCATCAATAATATAACGGAGGTAGCGAAGGTAGCAGCACACAGCACGTATCGAAAATGCCCAAGAACGGTAAACGGGATTTCACCTCTGGCACGCACCTGACGGGTCCACTGAGGGGGTTTGCGGGTAAATAAGAATCCCGCCATTGAGGGGTGTGTGGAGGAATATGTACTGTAAATATTGGAACCGTTGCAATATTGTAAATACCTCCGTAAAATCACACGCAAAGGTGCAATACCAACTCTGACATGCATTGCACATGCATGTTCACATTGTAATCTCATTGCAATGTTCACCTCCTTGCAGCCATGATCATGATCATTGCTGATACTTGCAACCTCTTGTGTTTTTTTGCTTGTCACCTATTGATCCCTCAATGTGACCACAGTTTGCATTGTTTTGGTGCTTGTGTGCTGATTGTGGTGCATTGCTATAACTCACCCTTGTCCTCATTCACCCCATCTCTGGACTTTCCTTTCCTTTCCTCCTTCACATCTCACAACAATGGCTTGTCAAACACCTTCAAACTGTATTTCACATCCCACTATGCTACCTTTGCCCTGCAATCAACAACCAAAACTTCTCCCTTGGCTGAGAAATTGGCATCATGCACTTGCTAGTTGTCCTGTGAACTTTCTCAGAAAGGTCCAGGCTCATGATCATGAACTTGTTCATGATTGTTGACCTGCATCCCCAACTTGCTCTGAGGCCCTTTGGAAATGCCACCAACTGGTTGATCTCCAGCTCATTGCACCAATCATTCCTCAACCAGCTCATCTTAGCACACATCTCTCGCCCCACCAGAACACTGTTTGGCAGCATATACTTATTTGGGCATGTCTATGCCCCTCTTGCATGTCAACCCTATTTACTAACCTCTCCAACAGCCTTTTATAGGACCACCATATTGTCACAACATCGAACTCATGTATGTTGATACAATTGCACTGCCAATCTCCCCAACTGCTCAGTCTTTCCCTCCCCCTGCCCCTGCCCAGGCGACCAAGAACACCAGTGGATACACTTTGCATTATGAGATTGATCCTGTGGTGTGTTCATTTCAGGATCATGAGCAATATACATATATTAATGGTGTGGCTAGGTGGTGGACAAGTTCCCAATCAGGATGCATGGGCAACAGAGGTTCCTGGTGCAGGAAGTCCTGTACATTGATGTCAAGCCTTCCCCATTGTATCCCACCATATTTCCCACTGTACAACCTTGCTAGTGTTTGCCCTTGCAATATGCTTCATTCCCTACCTTGTACTTTGTCCCAATCATGAGCATGATCTCACAAACATTTACCCTTGGAATGGTGCCACCTATCCAAGCCCTTGACCCCATGATATCATTGTACAACAGCATCTTGCAGTTGTGCAGCAGCAACATGAAATTCACCCAAACCTGCAAGATCCCGCTTTCCAGTGTTTTTTTTTAATGTGTTCATCCATTGAATGAAAACATTGGGTCATGTTACCCCCCCCTCCCTTTACCATATGGGTTGTTGACAAGTCCTTGTCCCCTCATACAACGTCCCTCCTCTGCTGCTTCCCAGCCATGTCTCACTCTCAAACTCATGTTGCTGCCCAGAAGAGGTCAACGGTCCATGATCATGATCATGATTATGAGAAGCAACCTACCCTCCCTCCTGCATCTACCCATCTTCCCAATCAGTGTCCTAAACAGCGGCATCGCCAACACTCCCTGGACAGACCACTTGCATCATGGCAGCCTGGTGCACTTCACATACTGCTCCTCTTGCCCTACTCACAGCAAACAATCCCATCCACTCCCAACCCTTCTGTGCAACCAGACAAAGGTCAGGACACTGTTCACAACTTTGATTTTGTAGACAACACTTGGGAAGAGGTTGACCAACATGATACACCAACTCCTTCAGCCTCATGGTCCATATATGAGACCAAGCAATCTCGAACATATGAGCAATGGATGGCTGTTATGCCTACCCTTGTGCAGACACTCATGGCATACAAGCTGTCCTTGGTTCATGATCTTGATGCCTGCACTTGCACAACTGGTGGGGTGGAGCTGCTCTGTACAGCATCTTGTTGGGAGGCATGCAAGATTTGGGTACAGTGCATTGGATTCCATGGTGAGTGGTTATCATCATGATTATGATCATGATCATGGCTAACACTGCCATCTACATCTAGGTACAAATATCCAGCAGAGCTGATACTGTGCGAACCACCCCATCACACCTTGCCTTGTTGCTGCTGGCCTTTGGCCCAGCACCCCTGTCCACCTTGTTCTCGCCTTCACCATCAAACTCCTTGCCTTCTATTTGCAGCTTTTTGCTGACTGCATGGCACCCAATGAGGCATTTTGTGAAACACTCCAGCAGTTCCATGCAGTACGAGGGGTTTTCCACTGCAATGACAAGGTCATATTGCTGCTGTTTCCTACAAGCTGTCATCATTGATACTCTCTACAGGGTAGACCAATTGAGGATCCCTTCTGTCATGCCTGGGCTGTGGCCACTCAGTGGTATCAGTTGGGCATGATCATGATCACGAGCCACCTGGAGTGTGCCTTGCATGAAGCATGGTGTCTTCTCATTCCAGACCTGCTGTCTTTGCAAGTCTCCGAATATATCCACCAGCCCACATCTGACAGCACAGTGATTGTTTCAGACCCATCCCACCCAAACATATCGCTACAGCAAGGTCAGGCAAGCCCTTGACTCAGACAGCTTTGTCCCACCTGCTTTGGAGGGGAAGAGTGGGGAAGCAACATGAAGATGTATGTCCCCAACACCTGCCTCTCATGATCATGCTCATGAACATGATGCCTCCCTCTACAGCTTTCCGGACATACTTGTCCAACTGGATGGCAACTTCCACCACCGCTGCAATCTCTCTGGAGGTACAGGACCATCATTTTACTCTCCATTGCTCTTTTTAGATGACATGTATGTCAGCAAGGTGGGATGTGAGATGGAGGCAATGCAAATGGCGACCCAGCCCAATGCAGTGCAGAAGGCAACAACCTTGGTGGAAGAAGTGGTTGCCGCTTGTTGGGACTCTTTCAAAGCAGCACAAGAAAAGGACAGTCAAGGAGTACCAGGCTTCCATGATGAGAAGGGCCTGGTAGTCTGTTCTTGCATGCATGATGTGCCCTTACTGATATGCAACATTACAACACCTGGAGAACATCAAATGTATGTCATTGCACTTATCTGCTGACTCATGGCAGAACTCCCATCCTGTGCAACCCTTGGACTACTTTACGACATTGGGTGTGTTCTCGATCATAGCTGCGATCTGGTAATGCAAGCCTTCTCTCTCTTGTGACTACTATGCTCATGATCATATTGGTGACCAGCATGGATACCTGGGCTCTCTCCGGCCTCGAGTGGTCATGGCTGTCAGCATCCTCCATTCCTACAGTCATCAGTGGGCTTACCAACAAGCTTATAGCCCCCACTGTCATACTGGGTTTGGACTTGCAAATGGAGAGGGCAGTGAATGGCTTTGGAGTCATAACAGGCACTACATTCTGATCCTTAGGTGGAGTGGAGTAAGTCTGCAGCTCTCTTCGCATCAGTTGGCATAGCTCATGGCCCTGTTGTAGAAACATAAACGGGTCTTCCTACTAGATTGTCAGTTCCTGCACTCTGCTGGTGTTGATCAGGAATCTCTTGGCAAGTGGATGTGTCATCAGCTTCAGTTCTTGAGTAGCAAGCAGCAGGAGATGCACACCAACCTTCGCATTGCCAGCATGGAACCTGCTGTGATTAAGGCACAAATTGCCAAACAGAATGCAGCAGCAAAGTCCATTTGATCATGTGAGCAACTTTCACTTGCCTTGCATGACTGACGCTCAATGTTCCATGATCACGATCATGATCATGACCATGTGCAGTGCCTCCAAAGCAAATTCAAGCCAAAGTGCAGTCCTTCATAAAACTTCAGAATGATATTGAAGACTTGCAAGCCAGCATCTCTTTCACTCGCACAGCAATGGAACAAAAGCCTGGTAATGCTCAAACCCAATGCATTTTTGCCCAACTCAATGAGAGCTGGACTGCTTTCATTGCTCATGGTGATGAGCTTTGTGTGGAGCTTGGAGTTGAAGAAATACACCCATGGCTGCAAAATGCACCTTTGGCCTTTGTCCAACAGCTCATCCTTGCTAGAAACCTCAAGCTTTGCATTCACAGACATGTAGCTGATTGAATGTGGGAACAAGCTTGCCTCAATTGTGCTGTGGGTGGTATTCACCAGCCCATCAGTGCATGGCTTGGCTTTTTCATTTCACACTGTAATTGATTCTTTGTAATTGATTATTTGACAAAAGGTCAAAAGCTCTTCCAACAAATAAAGACAGGCTTGGCCAGACATGCAATTCCCCTCACTCGATCCATCAGGCAATACAACACTTACATGGCGAACCTCCAAAGAAGCTCCAATCTGTTGTGGAATTTGCCCCTTCCAGTCCCACTGAACGAGAAGGAATTGGATGCTCTGGATCATGATCATGACATCTGGCAGGACATCTTTGTGGATGCTGACATGGTGGCAGAGCCCTGGATGACTGACCCCTCAGTCTGCAAGGCAATGACTGCCCATCTGACCTTGCAGCAGTGTGTTGAGGAAGAGCGTTGACTGTGCATGTACTTGAATAATATGCACTTATGGTGGGTGGAAGAGCTCAAAGTTCTGTGCTGTGCGGAAGACAGAGAACAGTGTGAGTCATCATGTTGGCTCATGATCATGGTCATGACTGACCAAGTCCTAGTGCCTTTCCTTTGCCAGATGATACAGCACTTAAAATGCCAACACCTCCTGCTGCATTTCTGCTGGCAGCACAAATTCTTTGGGCCTTCCACCTGGATCCTGCTCATGTGTGAAGCCAAAACACAGGACCCATATGCCACCCAATTTGCGCAACCACTGGGTCCTGAAGACTTTGAGGATACTCATGTTCCAGACCCCAATTGGGATCTCATCTTCTTTGACAATCCATACAAGGGAGCAGTGGGTGGCTTGGATGTCAAAGAAATGGTCCTTTCAACAGATGGACTTGGCCCTTATCAAGACAATCTAGAGGCAGTTGAGGAAGATGGTTAATGCTCTTTGTGCAAGCAGCAGTAGCAAATGCAATTGTATTCAAACAATGTGCATATTGATATTGCAGTCATCCTAAGTGTGTTTTGATATTGTGGTCACCCTAATCCAGCTCAGCCTCATGTCATCATGATCATGATCATGATCCTGAAGCAAGTTGTCCATGCTCCACATGATGTCAAAAGGCAATTAGAATGGGATGCCCAAAAAGGTAATTGTGGTCAGAGGCAAGGTTCAAATCCACACCACCAGAAGGACCCTGACTCTGGTGTCTCTCTCTTTCTCTCTCCTATGTGGCGCACAAACAGTGCAGCCTGGATTCTGATTTTCCATCCCATTCCAGCTAATTGCCTCTTGTTCATGAATCTGAGATTCATAATGGACACAATGGAGTCTGCAGCAAACACCAGTACCCCTCAGCCCAAACTTTCTGGTGTCCCCAATGGGATTTGAGCGAGCATCCATGCCCTGATTGCATCCAATGACATGATGATGACCACCATTCCTGCTATAGTCTGGTTGCAACTTGATGTTGAAGAGGCAAAGCATCTGGAGGAAGAGATTCCATTTCTTCAACAGCTTACTGGTGGTGAGCTGGATTATGTTCATTTTCACACCATCTTCAGCCACGTGAACATTGACAACAAGGTCAAGCACATCACAATGGTCAAGATCAACTTGGGCAAGGTCCACATCTGCACACAAGATGAGCACAATGCATGGATTGAACAACATGCAGGCTATGGTGGAATACATCCTGGTGCCAGTATCCACCTTGACAAAGTGCTTCAAAAGCTCATGAACATGAACATGAACAAGATTCAAGTCTTCCACTATGCTAAAATGAACACCCCGCTCCACCAACATCTTGGTCATCTATGCAAGCAACATGATGAGGTGCGCCAACATGTTGGAGAGGAGATTGCACATGCAGTCACAGCATTTTTTGAGGTGCAAAGAGAGGGGAAGGTGTACAATGAGAAACTTGCTGTGTTGCATGATGATCTCAAACTGTATGATCACAAGTCTCATGAGTACTAGTGCATCTACGCTGTTGACCTCCACTTCTGTACTCTCGTTCTGCTGTACAGGCTGTTTGCCATGATCTTGTCACCTCATACATAGTGTTGTGATCATTCTCATGATCATGAGAATGTTACCTTTTCTGAACCTGAAAATGAAACTGTGACCAAACAAATGGCTTACCTGTCAGATTAATGATCAAGTTGTTGAGGACACAACTAGCCATGTGGGAGTCTTGCAACCAACTAATGTTTAGATTACCTTGTTCATTATCATGATTGATTGGCTTTATATTTGGACACCACATTATCTTCTGTTTACTGATCAGGTCCAAGCTGAGAGGAAGAGAATGGCTGGCCTGCCAGCTGGTTCATGATCATGATCTCAAGTACATGCAGAGGTCTCCCCACCAACCAAAATGCAGGGTGCACAGCTGGTAAATGGCCTCATTCTCCACTGATCTCAGTTCAATTTGGCTGAAAATGAATTTTTACATAAAGAATGTTTTTCTCTCAAATGTCTATTATTCTGAGTGAAGAATCTCTATACAGTTTGTGACTTTTACTGACTGCGAGTCTTCTCCAACTCACCATGTTTTGCTTCCGCACACTGGATATAGGAGTAGCCATCCTACTACAAAAGGCCTCATCACTTGTGCCCTTTGTCCTGCTACTCTTTCCTGACCACCATCCTCTCCACTCCCTGCTTTCTTTGTCTCTGAATAACTTTATCACCTGGTGACACTCCTCTGTATCTATGCCTAAGGACTCCACACATTCAGAGTTGGTCAAGGGTAAAGGTGTTGGTGAGTCCCTTGTCTCACACTTTGCTGTCTTGCACTTTCCTGACCACTGTCTTTGTCTCATGTGTCAGTAGCTCACCCTGTCAGTCCCCTTCATTGAGGCAGAGATCAAGAGGGATGGGTATATGATTTGCCAGCAAAAGTAAGCATGATCATGGTCATGATCATGGATGTGATCCATTGTGACCTCCTTGCAGGTGCTTCAATCAGAACTGTCTCAGATAATGACCCCACACCACAGGCACTGGCACCAGGCCCTGCTACTTGGAAAATAAGTATGTATATGCATACACTGGTATTGCATTGCTGACAGATTGAAAAGATGAAGACCTCAATACTGGATGGGGGTCCAGTAGAGAGGGCAAGGACTGGACCAGTGGTATGCATATATGCGTGGTGGTGCATGTATCATTTGCTCATCATTTGTAGCCATTGCAAGTGACAATGTCAGTCATATCCATGTATTCAGCTCTCAGACTCATGCTAGTGAGTTTTCCATCTTCATGATCATGATCCAGGTCATGAGCTGATGCATGATCAGGTGTGTCAGGTGTGGGTGCATCCAACAGCAGGACATGCTGTCTGGGCATGCCTCTGCGGCATGCCAGCACTTTATCTACCAGTCATGTCTCCCTTGGGGGCTCTTGTGGCATCTCTGAAGAGGATGAAAACATGGATGCTGATGCAACTCAGAAAGTGGATGACAATCCAAGTGGTAAGAAGCTGCATATATGCATCTTTCTTACCACCTCATCTCATTGCTCTCTTAGCCTTTGCTGGGAGTGACACCACCTGCATTTGCATGACTGCTACTATAGCTCCCAGTGAGTCATGATCATGATCTTGTTCATGACCATGTGCTGATGTACCACATAGCCTGCACTCTGGCTCCCAGTTTGGTCACTCCCATGAAGGTTGACTGGAATGGATGAGGTGAGTGTGTTCACATTCATGAATATGAGCTGAGCTTAGCACTTCCATGTAGTCACTAGACTTGCATCTGATGGTAATGAGGAGCAGCTGGCACCTGCTGACAATATGTACTCAATGTACCCTTTGACACCGAGGAATGGGAGAACAACCCCTTGTTTGGGGCCTCCTGCAAGCTCAAGCCTGTGCAAAGATTGACACTGGACCGCAGAGGCAGCCCACAGTCAAAATGTGGTTCTCATGCTTGGTGCATAACAATCCCACCATGCTAAAGGTTGTGCAGAACATGGTGACTGCCTTCAAGCATGCTATCATAGATGTATTTCACAGCAATCTCACCATCTACAAGCAGCTGCAAAGTACAAATAATGCTTGCAGGAAGACCAAGAAATCCACATTAGAGAATACTAGTCATGCTCCAGAGATACCCATGCACAAGCTCATGAGCAAGGGCAACTACAAGGACATCTTGGCCAAAAACATGATTTCTGCCAATGTAGCTGATCATTTGGGATTGCCAAAGGATTGCCTTGTGAGCACAGACTTGGTCAAGGAGCAACAGGCCCTTCGGCATCAAGAGCATGCTGAGGCTGCTGCCGCCACTGCTGCTGCTGCTGCTCATAACTTGACTCATGCAACTGAGACTGATCATGATCATGAGCCTGACCATGTTGTCTTCCTTCCTTCTCCTGGACACACAGTCACGTGCCATTTTGCTGATGTGCCTACACCTGAAGCACCTTATCCTCTGGGCAAGCATCTTTGCACCATGCTTGTACACTTCCTCAACAATGAGAAGATTGAACACATGGGGGATCACAAACTCTTTCTTGGCAAGATAGCTTCTTTGTACTGGTCATGTGATCCATCATCCTGGGGCATTCAACTTGCCCAGGTAATACCCAATGATCATGGGGTCTAGGACAATATCAACATGCTGTGCCACAAAATGGCTATGCAGCACATCATGGACTGGCATTTAGGTCATTGCTGATCTGCCTCAACAAATACTACATGATGTTTTTTTATCGCTGAGATTCTTATGTGGTTACACTTATAACCAGATGTCTGTCATAGTGTCAGGGCACCAGCTCATTGCTTGGTCAAGAGACATGACTAAGCCTTTATGACATGGAAGTAGCTGGTATACCTTGGCATGTGCTGGAACCTGCTGGAAGGATTGGATGGTCAGGTGACCT